CCCCAGACCCTGGGGACCCCGCAGAGGCAGATGGAGCCTCTGGGGGTCTGCAGTCCTGGCACCAGGGCCCAGATACCCACTGCCTGTCCTGTTCTCGCGGGCTGTGCTCTCCGCCAGGGTCTCTCTAGGGCCCAGGGATGGCATTTGGGGACATGAGGTGGACAGCTCGGCCTTCCCTTCAAAGGCAGCGAGTCATCCCAACCAGACCCTCTCCATCCCCCACCCGTGACTCAGGATAAGCGGCCCCGCCCCTCTGGCCAGCTGTTGGCAGCTGTCACCACCTGCCGGCCCGGGGCCAGATGCCCCACGGCTGTGGAGCGAGCGGGGGTGGGGCATACAGCTGTCTGGGTGCTGGGTGTCTTGCCCCGCCCACGCCCTTACCGAGCTGCTGGACCTTTCATGGATCCCCCCACCCCATCCTGGGATCAAGTGTGTGTCTGCGCCCAGCCACCATGGGGCGGGGGGGACCTCTGGTCCTAACCTGAGGCTGCCCCATGCAGCCAGGCCAGCCCGCGCTCCCCCCCCAGGGCTCGTCTGGGTGGCTGGCGGGGCCCTCAGAACCGCACTGCTCATGGTTCCGGCTCAGCTTCCCTGGGGTCTGGAAGGTGCGGGGGGGCGGGGGGGAACGTGGGGCAGCGCAGCCTCTGGGGCTGGACACCCGCGGCCCAGGAGACACGAGGGAGCCAGTCCCCGAGCTCTGCACCCAGATCAAGGAAGGAGGGGCCGTGCGTATCTCAGCCCGAGACCCCCTGCCGCTTGCGTTGGCCACCAGCCTGACCCAAGCACTCTGCCTTGTCACCCCAGACGAGTGCCAGAGACAAGAGCCCCGGAAAGGAGCCAGCCTGCACCCTGAGGAGGAGTGCGCTGAGGAACCCCGACCCGGGGCCTCGTTCTGCCCCGAGCTGGTGCAGGCTGGGTGCTGGCAAAGCACCCTCCCCCCCGGCTCCCCAGGCTGCCCAGGGTGCCAAGGTGGGGGCATGAGATGCCGGGCCTGGTCGTCAGTAGCCTTGTGGTGGATGGGCACACCCAGCTGGGGCCAGTGCAAGTCCTGTGTCAGCGGCTTCCACGCCTCAAGTCAGCGGTGCCAGCGGTGCGGGCCGCTGACTGGGGTGCCACTTGCCGCAGGGTCTGGGCTGGGCTGCTCGGCAGACACTGGGGGGTGGGCTCTTGAGCCCACCGGGCATGACCCCAGGTGACCCCAGGCAACACTGCCAGAAAAAGGCGTCGGAAGCTGCTGACCCAGGGCTCCATTGGGTGCCACCCCCTGGGGGGTCTCCACAGGAGAAGACCCTTGGGAGGCAGATCCCACCTCCAGGGCCCTACATTCCCAGGTCTGGGGACCCTTGCAATCTCCCACCTGGGGTCACTGACGCGTGCTGGCCTGAATGGGAGGTCGACCCTCCCTTCCACAGACGGCGGCAGTCGAGGGCTCAGGGTGACTGGGCCGGGGAAGCACCGGCTTGTGGAGGTCTCTGAGCCAAGGCAGGACCGGAGAGGGCTCAGCGGGGCAGCCCCTGGGTGGGGCTGGCAGGATGGGGGTTGAATCTGGGGAAGGAATGCACGGACCTCCACAGGGCTCCCAGGAGAGGCCCTGGCCCTCAGCTCCCCTGACGCCTGGCCCATCTTGTGAGGGCCCTGAGCCCAGCCAGGCCTGGGCGGTTGAACAGGACGGGCACCCGGCACCGGGCGAGGTCAGCACGGGGCACAGAGGGAGCCCCAGCTGCCGGGCCCGCCCCCTGCCCTGCCCAGTCCCCGCCCCTCCCCGTGCTGGGCCCGCCCCCTGCCCTGCCCAATCCCCGCCCCTCCCCCTGATCAGCAGCCTCCGTCCCTGCCCACCAGATGCAGCAGGGACGTGCCAGGTGCTGGTGCCAGGCATGGGGTGGAGGCTGCTTCCCAGCCCAGCCAGGGGGCCCGGCCCCCACACAAGCTTGACCCTGTGGGAGTCCCCTGTCTCCGTACCCCACCTTGCAGCAGCCCGCCTCACAGGCCCGTGTGTCCCAGGGCAGTCCAGCCCACGCCCTGGGTCTGGGCAAGGTGCGCCGGGGGCGCTCACCTTTCGGCCCCTCGGGTCCCAGCCCCTCCATGCCACCTCAGGCCCCGCAGCAGGTCCAGGGCCCTGCAAGCCCCAAGCAGCGCCACCCGGGGGGCTGGGAGAGCCTGGCTGGCGCCTGCAGGTCCTTAACCCCATGCCCCGAGTCCCAGGTTGAGTCTGTGCTGGTCCCGACCCCACGTCCTATGTTCCTGTCCCTTTTCCTGTGTCCTACATCCTGCGTTCCTGTCCCAGGTCCCCTGGCCTGGCCCCCAGACGAGGCTCTGATCCCCTGCCCGGCCCTCCCAACCCCAGGTCCACGGGCTGTGGTGGCCCCACGTCCCCTCATCTTCAGCTCCTGTCACATCGCCTGGTCCCTGGACATCAGCCTCAGCCCCCCCCACCCCGGGACAGCTGCAGAAGACTCTCGGCCACCCCTCTGAAGCCAGGAGGGCTGGGCTGCGGGGCTTGGGGGTGGGGAGGGAGCGGTCACACCCGAGGGTGTCAGAGCCTGGGCCGCCATTTCAGGCTCACCAGGCTTCAAGGGGACCAGCTTATCACAGCCCAGATCAGAGGGAAGATGCTGGCCTGGGGCTCCTCCCTCCTGGCACCCACCCACCCAGCACCCACCCTCCCCACCACCCAGCACCCACCACCCAGCACCCACCACTACCCAGCACCCACCACCCAGGACCCCCACCACCCAGCACCCCCACCATGGACATCAGGAGTTTCGGCCCAAATGGCTCTCAGAAGCCCCAACAGCACGAGCCATTAGTGGCTGTGAAATCAGATCAAGACATTGACCCCAGCCCGGCCTGGGAGTCCCTCTGAGACACAGCTGGATCCCCCTCCGCTCCCTTGAGACTGGGGGCCCCCACTCCCACCCCACAGGGAGCCCCACAGAGCTGAGCACGGGAGGCATTTCTGTTCCTGTTGGGGGTCCTGGTAGCATCACGGGTGGCTGTGCACTGGTCTTTCTGCCTGTGGCCAAGGGCACGTTAGGGCCTGGCCTTGGTGTTTGTGGAGGGGCAACTGTGGCAAGAGAAGCCAGGGCGCGGTGCCTCAGAACACAGGAGGTGAAGCCCTGCCGCGGTGCCCCTCCTCGTGCCACTCCGGGCTCCCCCGCTCTGGAGCCCAAAGACTCTTCTCTCAGCCTGCTCTGCCACCTGGCCCCGCCTGCCGCCTGGCCCCGCCCACTCGCGCTCCCATTGGCTCCGCCCAGGCACAATCTGGGAGCCCCCAAGGGGGGCGGGGCGCCAGGGAGAGGGAAGGAAGAGGGGGTGTTGGGCAGAGGGAGTGGGGCCGGTCAGTTGGAGGCCCAATGAGCAGACGTCTGTCCTGGTGGGCTTCGTGGTGGCCGGGCAGCCCCAAGAGGATGGGTCTGTCTGGTCGCCCAGACCCCCCGCCCAGCCAGGCGCCCTAACATGTCCACAGAACGACCAGCGCATCAGCAGCCCTCGCTCCTGAAAGGGCACTGGGGGATGGGCCCGGAGCCACTGGTCTCGCGAGAACCAGGACCCGGGCCCCGATGGGCCTGTCGGGGCCCGTCAGGTCATTAGCCCCGCAGGCTTCCCTGGGGCAGATGACGAGGGTGGTCCCCACGTGAGCCCAGGTGGACAGCACTGTCCCTCAGGCCAAAAGGGCACAGGGCTGGGAGTGGCAGAGTCTCCTTTGAGGTTCTGGGGGACTGTACCCTCAGGGGTGCTGGCAGGGGGCAGCTCATCCCCTGTGACCCAAAGATGGCCCACAGCCTGAGGTCTCCCCACTGCCCAGCGTCTACCCTCTCCCCACCCTTCCCCGCTCAGACTGAAACCCAACCAGGCGTCGGATGCAGCCTGTCCCGTCTGGGGAACATCTGTTCGGTCACCAGCTGCGGGCTGCCTGCAGCCCACACTACTCCCCTGGCCACTGCAGCCCGGCTCCCCACAGCCAGCCAGGCCCTAGGTCTCCCGCGGTGTCCACTCTAGGTGGTCTCCATCACCAGGCCAGAGCTTGGTCACTGCCCACGGAGTCAGGACCACCCCAGCGGGGCTTACCTCAGAGCTAGCCCCTGCCTCCTAAGAGACGGGAGTGGGGTCCACCCTGGGAAGCCAAAGAATGGGGGGAGATTGAGAAGGACAGGGGATCCCATCCTGCACTGCATGGGGGTCCCAGCAGAGGAGGGGCAAGGGGACTGGGGACTGAGCCCTGGGAGACGAGAGCAGAGGGAGGTGACCCAGCCCGGAGCTGGGGAGGAGGCGGGGGCAGACGGCAGCTCACTGCCGAGGCACGGGGGAGGGGAGACTCGGCCCCAGCCGTGGGCCCAGCACTGCCTGGTCAGGATGGCGGGCATCCCGACGGGCAGGTCAGGCAGGGCCTGGGCTTGTCTCCTGAAGCACTGAGAGCCAGCGGCTCAGCCTCGCCCCTCCTGCCGCTCTTCGGACATGCTGCGCCGGGGCCTTTGCTAGAATCACACCAGCTCTTAGTGCCTTTCTTAAGATGCTCCAGAACCTCTGGGCCAGGGGAAACCCAACCCCTGCCTGCTGGCTGGGTGAGGAGAGCGAGGCCACGGTTGCACACCCAGGGTGGACGGTGCCCTGCAGGCAACTGGCCCTAGCCCACCTCCCCACCAAGGCCACGCAGGGAACCCCAGAATGTGGGACGGGAGAAACACGGGCCCTGCACTGAGGGCTGGGGGACCACACCAGTACAGAGAGGGGGGCCCCCCGCGCCAGATGTGCAGGACTCTGGCTGGCCAAGGAGGCGCGTGCAGGTGAGTGGGGAAGAGTCCTCCGGCTCAGAGCGCTGATGGCGGGCCCTGGGGACCCTCAGGCCTCGGCCCCCGAGCCTAAGGCCTGGTGATGGGGTTCCTGAGCGCTCCCCCATCCGTCCTATAAACAGGCACACGGGCGCACACAGATGCAGACACAGGAAGATATAAACAGGCACACGGGCACACACAGATGCAGACACAGAAAGAAACACCAGCTTAGAGGAAAGGATGCACATTTTCTTGTTTAACAAAATAAATTAAATATACGAAGCTTCAGCTCAAACTCTATATAAAATTACAGAGGCCTGGGGCCGCCACGGGGAGTGGGGCAATGGATGCCCGGCTCCGAGGTGGACATCCAGTGTGGCCAAAAGGCCAGGTGGGTCCTGGGCCTCAGGAGAGGCCAAGTCTCTGTGGCCCAGCCCTCCTTTCATCATTATTAATATTATTATCTTAATTTCTTAAATATAAATATCAAGGGCCCCTTCTCTCTGGCAGTGGGACGGGAGGCACCCCCAGCCAGCTCCGGCCTCTCAGGACGGAGCCTAGGGCTGCTCCGCCCGACCCCCCTGCCCAGGGCACTGGTGGACTCCTGGACACCCAGGACAGGTGGTGGCAAAAATAGCCTGGGCAGGGACACAGGCGGGCAGGCGTAGGGAAGGGGTCGGAGTTTTTGGTTTGCAAAGCCAGGGTGCCTCTCAGATCTCCTGCCAGGCCGGGGTGGGGGGGTGACCATGGCCCCCATGAAATCCTTATCATGGGGCCAAGGGATTCCTTCATGAGCTAGCCCATCGCTACATGCGCACTGCAGAGTTACAATACAGACCTTCCCAAAGGCTTCTTAGTCTGAGAGTGTGTGTGTGTGTGTGTGTGTGTGTATGTGTAATTCTGTGTGTGTGTCCAGAGGTATGTCATGCATGTGTGTGCGTCCAGGTGTGTGTGTGTCTCACGTGGGGCGCCTCGCACCCGCAGTCCATCTTCCTCTGTGGCCTCGCCCCAAGCCTGCGCGGCTGGCCGGACCTCCGCAAGCCCACCCCGAGGCAGCCTAGCACTGGTAGTGGATGTGTTGATGCTGGTGGACTTTACCCTCCACGTGCGAATGCGTGTGTGAGTGCGTGTGCGTGTGCGTGTCCGTGTAGAGTTTGGGGTAAAGCTTGGGGCCGGCGGCTGAGCCCGGGCCCAGCAGGTGCTGGGGGGCCGCCGGGGGCCCGAGTTCCTCACACAGCCCCACACCGGGGCCGGCACCGAGGGTGGGGGGTGCCGGCAGGTCCTTGTCCCCGCCGCGGTCGCGGGCCGTCGCGGGCGGGCGATGTGCAGGCACCGGAGGGGCGGGCGCGGGGGCGCATGGCTTCTTCTTGGTCTGGCAGAGCCACAGGAGCACGGTGCCCAGGATGAACACGGCGCCGGCTGGGATGCCGATGACCACTGGCCACGGCAGGCTGGTGGTGGAGGACGAGGGGGCCACGGGCGGCCCTGGCGGCTTGGGGTCTGCAGGAGAAACCGAGGAGGGGGCGGGGAGGGGAGCGTCACGTGTGGGCGTGGCCCGGGCGGGGCGGGGCGGGGCAGGGCGGGGCCCACGCACCGGGCAGCACGGTCAGGAAGGCGCTGCGAAAGCTGTAGCCCATGGTGTTGGCGCCCAGGCAGATGTACATGCCCGCGTCGTCCTGGCGCGCGCGAGTGATGAGCAGCTTGTTGAGGTAGGAGCCGTCGGGCCGCGACCACACGTCACCCGTGGGCAGCACCACGAACTTCTGGCCGCCCACGTCGATGGTGGAGTTGTAGCGGCCCTCGGCGCCATACTCCACGCGCTTCAGCCACTGGATCACGGGCTTCACGTCGCTGCGCACTTTGCACTGGAAGGATGTCGTGCCTCCGAAGTCCACCGTCGTGTTCACGGGGTGCGTGCCCGTGAGGACAGGCTTGGAGCGCGTCCGCTCTGCGCAGGGACGTGCGTTGGGCACAGGACCCAGGCGCCAGCCCGCCCCCCCCGGCCCCGCCCCCGGCCCCGGCACTCACGGATCACGTCCACCTTGTAGGTGGCGTTGATGGCGCCCGCGCGGTTCGACACGCGGCACGTGTACTTGCCGCTGTCCTCGGGGCGCAGGTTCTTCAGGCTCAGGGTCCACTTCTTCTTCCTGTGCTCACCAGCCTCCGGGCGCGTCAAGGCCTGGTCATCCTTCATCCACATGATGTCGGGCCGTGGGTGCCCACTGGCCACGCACTTGAGCCGCACGGAGCTGCCCACGGGCCGCGCAATCACCCGGCGCCTCATCTTGGAGGGCTGCGTGAAGCGGGGCCGGGCTGCGCGGGGCGCAGGGGAGGGGGCGGGGCACAGAAGTCAGCGGGCACTGGGGGGAGGCACAGCCCCGCCCCCCACCAAGATGACGGCGTCTGTCCCTCTGCTCACCCCACTGCTTGCTGGCTGGGTCTTCCTGGCCCCCGGAAGAGCCGTCGTGCCCCGGGCTCTCCCTTCCTGGACTGGTGTCATCTGCAGAGGGGAGGGTGCATGAGAGGGGCCTCGGCAGCCCCTGTAAGACCCCAGGACTGGCTCCCGGGCCCCAGCCTCAGGCCCAGCTGGGAAAGCTCTAGAAACGCCAACAGGAGGCCATGGGTGCACACCCACGTCTCAGAATCCCAGAGACAGCTGGGCCGGAGCCGCCCACCCGGCGCACTCCCTGGGTGCAGGTGACCCCGACAGGCGTGGGTGGGACGGAGATCTGGCTCCCCCACCCTGGCTCCGGGGGGTCTGCAGGGCCGGGGGGAGGTGGCGACCAGGCCCAGCCGGCAGCTGCAGTAACCCTAGCCCACATCAAGGGGCCGAGGGCTTGGTGAGCTGACATGGCTCGCATACCGCCTGGTCGTCCTGCCCTTTGAAAGGACGCTGGGGGGGACACCCACAGTATTCCCATTCCACAGCCCAGAGAAGGCCTGTGGGGCCTGGGGGGGGGCGGCGTGCTGAGGAATGCCCCCCCCGCAGTGACAGCCGCCGCCTCCACGGCCCAGGACCAAGGCCAGGCGCTCGGACCCCACCCCGGAACCCAGTGGAGGGGTGCGTGGGTCAGGCTCCTCCTTTGTGCTGCCAGGGAACCTGCCCCGAGGGACCCGCCCGGGAGCCCAGGGGGAGGGCGAGGCGCCAGCGCCTGGTACCAGCGAGTGGAGGGCGTGTTCCTGGGGGCGCCGCCCAGTCCCCAAGCCCGGGCCCCAGAGGCAGAGAACAGAAGGCCCTTCCTTCCCAGCGGCCCCTCTGAACTCCGAAACCTGAGCCTCAAAGTCATGGCTGACGCCAAGGCCGCCGGCCCGCCTGCCCCACCAGGCTGCCCTTCAGTGGGACCACCACCTGGGGCCCCCATACCCACCCCTGCCGCCCCCCTCAGCCAGCCCTGGCCCCCAGGTCAGCAGAACTTTGGGGGACAAGGGGTCGGGAGGAAGGGGGACCCCAAGGTGAGGCCTGAGGGGGCGGGGCCCGGCCTGGGGGTGGTGTCCTGGGCTCAGAGGCCGGGAGGGGAGCAGGGCGGCTCTGGTCCCGGGGGCAGTGGGCCGAGCTCATGCAGGGTGAGGGTGGGCACAGAGGGAGGGTCTGCCTCCCTGCCCGAGCTGACTAGGCGCGAACAGCAAGGCCCCGCCCTGGCACGGCCAGCACTGACCCATCACGATGAGGGTGTAGTTGACGCTGAGGCTGCCGAAACCGTTGGTGGCCTTGCACACGTAGGCGCCGGCGTCCTCCCGTTCCACCTCCTTCACCTTCAGCCCCTGGGGCAGCACGCGGAAGCGGCTCCAGCCGCCGTGGATTGTCCGGCCATCCTTGGTCCACATGGTCAGTGGCGGCGGGTCGCCCTCCACGGGGCACTGCAGCCGCACAGTGCGGCCTAGCCGGGCCACCTGCCGCGGGACTACCTTGTCCGCCATCCTCGGGGGGCCTGTGGGGGTCAGAGGGCTCGCTCAGGGAGGAGGGGACCAGCAGGTGGTCGGTCGGGGCCAAGGCAGGTGTGGGCACTGGAGCCAGGCGAGGGCTGTCCCTGCTGGGCCCCCACCCCGGGACTCCACCCAGATACGCCTACCCAGCTCCCAGACCACAGGAGGCGGCGTTCACCCAGGGCCCACTGCGCTCCCGCACGGGAGCCGGGATGCGGCTCGCCCAGGACGCACGTCCGCAGGCGAGCGAGGGCGGCCCCCACCGCCTCCCTGCAGGCACCCCATCTGTTTGTGTGTGCACGTGCGAGCATCCCTGCGTCTGGTGGCCCATGTCTGTGCCTGTGTGTACATGGGCGGCACCAAACCAGGTCTGCCTGCCTGGACAAGAGCCTCCCTGCTGCCAGCCAGGCCACACCAGGTCACCAAGGCCCTGGAGTCAGAGGGCAAGCAGCTGGGCCTCCCAGCCCTGGGTGACCACTATCTGCCCTGGGAGAAGCCTGCGTCCCGGGCTGAGGCCGTGGTGCCCTTCACCAGCGGGAAGAAACCCATCCCCGTCCCCACCGGCCCGGGGCCACCCAGGGACAATGGGGATGACAGGCCTAGAGGGCGCGAGAGACGGGCCAGCTGGGAAGGACGCTGCGGACATCAGAAGGCTATGGAGCGATCTCCTGGTGGACCTTCAGTCCACTCCTGCCGTGCCCCCGTGCCTGACGCCCTGAGCTGGGGCTGGTGTGCAGCCCCTACACCACGGGAGGACCGCGAGGGTGGAGGGCTCTTACATGGTCACGGACGGCCCCCCCGGACCAGGAGAGGCAGCCACGGGCACCCGGCTGCCCTTCCCAGGGGCTTGGCTGGGCCTGGCTCCCAGGACTCCGCCCACCAGCCACTGGAAGGGGCACCCACCCCACACGGCAGCCACTCCAGGCCGTGAAGGCCACGCCCCGAGCCCTGGCCGCACGGAGGTGCCGGGGGCGTGGCTGCGCTGAGACGCTGGGCCCGGGGCCTGAGAGCGGCATGTGTTTTTAATAACCAGCTGGTGTTTCTTCAACGTGCAGTCGCCGCTGATTCTGTTGCCGCCTCACAGCCAAAGTGCTCCTGCGGGTCCCCCAGAGACTAGCGCCCAGGGACCCTCACAGAGCACGGGCCCCCATCGCCTCCGCCTGGGGTGCGGACGGAGGGTAGGGGGCCATCCCCGTTGGGATGCAGGGAGCTGACAGCCCAGGGCTCAGCTTCTCTGGGGCCCCAGGTGGGGAGGGGGTCCCAGGGGACTGGGGTGTGAGGGACACAGAGACACTAGGCACCTTCCCTCTACAGCCTCCCCCCTCCACATCCTGCCCCATTCGGGTGGCCCCACCCCCTCCACGCAGCCCCTGGACAGTGGGCCATGCCAGAGGTACCAGCCAGCCAGCCAGCCCTCTGGCTTCCCCTGATACCCGCCTCTCCCTAATCACTCACTTGTCTCCAGGGCCCCCCAGGCACCTACCCAGCTCGCAGTGGGAGAGGCTTCAGGGCCCCCAGACAAGTGGACCTTCTGAGGCCCCCCAGGCCGCCCAGGGTCCGGGCCTCATTCCCAGGCAGACCCTGTCCACCACCTGTCACTGCCTGAAATTCCACCATTCACAGGGGCCTCCCAGGCTGCAGGACAAAAGGGCACCCCCCAGCCCTTCCCGGGCTGACACCTGGGTGCGAGCATCACACGCACAAGCACAGGCACACGGACCCACACACGTCCACACGGACACACGCGATGGCCCGGATAGCACGCGGGGAGGACGGTGCCCGCGCGAGGAACAGCATCGCTCCCTGCTGGGGCTCCGCCTGTCCCAGTGGCATCGTGGGGGCACCGCTGGCGGCTGGTTCAACACCCCCGACTCCCGAAGGAGCCCGCTTCAGTGGCAGAGAACGCGCCCGCCTGACAGTGCGGGCCCTCCCTCTCCCCACCCGCCAGAGGAGACCATGTTGGGGGGCACCTACTGGGTGGCAGGGACGCCACCCTCGGTCCTGCGGAGTGGAGGGACAGGGCCAAGTGACCGCCAGATGGGCCGGAAGTGTGGCCCCGTGGGCCGGCCTGTGAGCAGTGAGGGGGACGAGGCAGCGCCCGTCCAGAGGCCCCGGCTGGAGCCAGCCTTGTCCTAAAGCAAACAGCCCTCCTCCCCTCTGTGGCCAGCCTCACCCCTCCCCACCCCCACCTGGGCTCCGGGGGACCCTGCCCCCCACCCCAGCTTCTGCGAGAGACCCCCCAGCAGGCTCACCAGCGGGAGGCCTGGCCCCCCAGATTCCTGGGAATTCTGGCCGCCAGCACGGCTGCTGCAGCTCTATATTTAGCCTGGGAAACACAAGCCCTGCTGTTCCACCTGGACAAGGCCTCCCGCCCCTCAGCCACAGGGAAACTGAGGCCTGAGCTGGAGACCCGCAGGCCCCTGGAGGGCGTGTGGGTGGGGGCAGCCGACGCAGCCTTAGTGCCTTCCCCGTGAGCGCCTCCTCCAGGAAGCCCCAACCCTGCACCCACCCGCAGTCACGGCCCTAGGAGGCTGCGGGCACAGGCAGGATGTACACGGCGCAGGCATGGCAGACACGGGGCAAAGGCAGGCTGGGGCCGGGTCTCACCCCAAGAGGGGGGCTGAACGTCAAGGTAACGGGCAGGGAAGGTGTCGCCCCTTCCTCTCCTCCATCCTCCTCCACCCTCAGCTGTGAAAACATGGTCAGGAATGGGGATACTGGGGGGGATGGGGGGCAGCCGCTCCGGGCGCCCCACAAACCCAGCTTGGATTCCCAGCCGCCATCCAGAGCTGCTGTCACACACAGACCCTGTCACACCGACCCCCAGGTGCACACCCCAACAGTGGGCGCAGACTCCCTGCCACACACACCCCACCTCTGAGCGCTCCAGACGCCCAGGCCCACAGCCCCTCCCCCTGCCTGGCCAGAAGCACCGCTTTCCCCCGTTTAGTATAACAAGACCCGGCTGCAACCCCAGCTGATAGCCCTCCTGCCCCGGGGCCCAGGGAGGCAAAGGTGCTGGCAGGAACAGAGAAGGGACCCCCAGCTGTGGCCCACCCCATGCCCACCCCCCCGTACCCCCAAGCCGTCTTCACAGGCCCTCGGGGCCGCCCCGAAGCTCAGCACCCCACACCTCACCGCCCCGCGGCCTCCGCGCAGCCTGGCGCACCTTCCCGACACCCCCTCCTCCCTCCCCGCCCCCAGGGGCACTCCATCTGGACCCACGCTGCCGCTCTGTTCACGCCGTGGCAGGGGTGAGAGGGTTCCCAAGTGTCGGGCTGCACCCCTCCCCACCGCCCGGGGTGTTCTGTGGGCCCTGGCTTGCTGACCCCAAGCTCCCTTCAAGAGGGGCCGGGCCAGACGTCGCCCCTCTCCCAGGGCCCACGTGGCAGAGACCAGCAGGGGCCACAGAGGCACCCCGTGAAGCCGCAAACACAGCTGAGGTTGAGGGTGCATGCAGCACCGGCCGGCTCGTCAGGGCAGCTCTGTCCCCCACAAGCCCTGCAAAGCCCCAGAAATTTCCAGCCTGGAAGGAATTCTCTGGCAGGGGGCGGGGGAGGTGGGGGGAGCATCGGGCTAACCAGCATGGGCCTGGCCGTGGGGTGAGGGCGCCCAGCCAGGAGCCACCGTCCTGCTGTGCAGGACAAGCTAAGTGAGAGGCGTGGGGAGGGGCGCTGGGCCCTGGCTGGGGGGCCGGAAGGGGGCAGGTCCACCCGGGCTGCCTGGGTACCTGACGCCAGACAGGGCAAGTAGGCACTCTCTGGGGGGAGCGGGCGCCCACAGTGGGGACCGGGTGCAGCAGGGTGAGCTGGGAAGGCCGCAGGGCCAGCACCCTCCCCAAGAAGGCGAGGCCTGGGGGGGAAGGACAGGAACACCCCAGGGCGGGGGCACAGGTGAGGCCCACCCCAGGGCTGCCACGAGGGGGGCAGGCTCGGCACACGTGCACACCCACACTCGCATACAGGCTCCCGGTCAACAGCCGGCCCAGGGCGGCCCCGGGGGCTGGACCCACGGGATCTGTGGTGGAACTGGTAGGACCCGCAGGACAGGTGGTTGCCCCAGAAACCAGGCCATTCTGGGCGTGGCAAAGGGACGGCCTGACCCACCGAGCAAGCCGCCGGGAGCGTCCCCTCCACCGGCTGCCCAGCCGCGCACCAGGGGGCTGGCAGACCGGGGGCCTCCAGGTCTGTCCTCTTCTCTGGAGGCCCCCAGATGGACCTCCAGTGGCCCCCCAGCTTCAGGCCTCCTCCGCCTAACCCTCACCACCCCCAGGACCGACAAGTGAGGCCCAGAGCATCACCCTGACAGGGCCACTTCCCTGGGGGGGGGGACCCATGTGAGCTGCCTACGGGACAGTGACCAGAAAGCACCCAGACCCACCGCCGGGCCTCCCTCAGCTGGACACCGGGCAGCCCCGTCGGGTGTCCAGATCTCACTAGGCCCACCAGACTCAACGCTGTCTCACCCCGACCCTGCCCACCCCGCCATCCACCCCCACCTCACCAACGTCACTTGACCCAGACCCTCCCCCAGCTGCCAAAGGACCGAGAAGGCCCTTGTCCAGTGAGGCCTCCCACACCTGCCGGCACCGGACCCAGAGCACAGGGTAACGCGCCGCAGGGCCCAGACCACCCCAGGGGCCCCGCCCCAGGGGGCCCCGATCCAGGTACCAGAGTCACCTCAGAGGGGAGACGAGGACATTTTCCTGAGCCTGGAGCCCCTGGGCGTTTAAGCAGAACCTCGAGGGTGAGGGCGATGGCTACGGCAGCAGAAGACCCAACGCACCCAGCAGCCTGGCCTGCGCGACCCCAGGCCAGAGCCCCTGCGTCCCACCCATACCTGCTCCACGACAGCCCACGCCCACGGCGGGCTTCTTGAGGCCAGGACTGAGGCCATGGGGCCTGAGCAGGCCGGCCCAGACTAGGCGCCCCCAGGCCCCCAGAGGCCACGGGGCAGGCCACCTGGCCCTCAAGGCGCACATGCTGTGTCGGGCTGAGCTCCAGAGTCAGCCCCAGTCCCCGCCGGAACCCGGACAGGCTGCTGCACGAGTGCAGAGGGCAGCCCCGAAGCCACTGGCAGTGGCCCTGGACCAGGAGAGCGCGCTCCGCAGGCCCCGGCTCCTCCAGGGCTCAGGATCATGGGAGCCAGAGGGGGTCCCTCCGCCCCGCCTGCTGCCCCAGGTCCCGTTATTCACTCTTCAGCCACTCAACAGCGCACAGCTTGTGTAAATCTCTCATGAAATAAACTCCCCGGCAGGAAGAAAAGCAATTGTGTTTCCTGCCAAGATGGGAAACCCTGGATTTCAGCAGCCCTTAGGCTGGAGCAACTCCTGCAGTGCCTCAGGGACAGCTCCTAGAAACCCCACCCTGGGCCAGTTCTCCTCAAGGCGGCCGTCTGCGCTGGATGGGGGGGTAGGCACCTACCCCACCCCCTGCCTGCCTCCAGGCCCCGCCCCCAGCCACTCAGTTGGGGCACAGGGTGTGGATGGAGGCCCCGGGACTCCTCGCTGGAGCCAGGAAGGCTGGCCACAATGTCCTGGTGGAAAAGCCCCCAGGACACCCCCTCAGCTGACCAGCCTCTCGGCCCAGCCCTTCCCCACTCAAGGCCCCTACCCCACTACACCAAGGCACCCGCGTCCACTGGATGTCCACTCTGGCCCCGGTGAGCTGCTCACCTCTGCCCACGACATCCCCCCAGCTGGAGGCCTGTCCTTGCCTACCCTGACCAGCACCCACCTCTCCTTCCAAGTCCCGGGGTGACGCCCACGCCTCTGCGTTCCACCTCCCTCCAGTGGACCCCGGGCTGCGACCCCACCTGAGGTAGCCCAGGTGGCCCCTGCTCTCCTGGGCCCCGAGAGGAGCGAGGCTGGGACTGACCAGGAGCGCCTGGTGGCCACCACTAGGAAGAGCGGGTGATGGGCAAGGTAGGTGGGGCCACACTGGCTGCAGCGCCGCTGAGGTCTGGGGACGGTGGCATGGGCGCGGACACGCTTTCCTTGCACACGCTGCCCCGCCGACGGAGGCTGCCACCTGGACGCACCAGGGCTGCAGTCACCAGGCGAGGCACAGCGTGGGGCAAAGGAAGCCAGCGTGGACGGCCACACAGCGGGGAGGCGGCCACAGCCCGTCCCCCCGGCACGTCAGCGAGCCCGAGCCGCCCAGGTGATCGGAGGCTGAGGCTGCTGCCGGGGAAAACCAACATGTACCACGTTAGGGCCGCGGAGCCGGGCGGGAGCCGGGGGCCCACTGATCCCCCCACAATGGAGACAGAGGCTGCGGGCAGCCCAAGCTCAGCCTGGCCCAGCCAAAGGCCACTTTGTTCGGCTCCCTCCTCCCCCCAGAGGAGGCAGTGATTTATTTTCCCTTCCAGGAGTGGGGCCCAAGACAAGACGTAAATGGGGCCGCTGGCCCACATCCCCAGCTCGCAGAGCCTGGGCCGGGCTCCCACAAGTCCACCTCAGCCCTGGCCGCACACTGGCCAGCACGGCCTGCAGGGACCTAGAGGGGAGGAGAAGGCCCCCTGCAGCCTGGCCAGAGGCCGAGGTCAGACAACGCACATGCACACGCCACAGCCGCCCTGACGGCCACATGCTTCGCCAACGACTCACACACCCCAGCAGACCCTTCGCGCCACAGCCCCAAGGCAGGGCAGCTCCAAGTCCTCTCCATCCCGCGGGAGATAGGGCACCCGGCACACCGGCCAGGTCCAGGGGACAGGGCGGGGCCTCCAGGGCTGGCTGCTCAGAGACCGTCCACTGCACCGCCATCCTCAGAGGAGTTCACACGCGGCACCTCTCAGAAAACCCTGAAATGACTTCTTCCAAAGTAATTTGTAAAAGGCATTTCATTCGGAACCTCTCAGAGCTCCCACTGTGAGAAATAAAATGGAAATGGAGAAAGCCAACCTCTTTTTTCAAATTTGAAAAAAGAAAAAAAACAAACAGTTTAAGACAAACCCACCAAGATTGTGAAACTTTGGGAAAAGGGGAACTTTAAAAATATGATTGGAGTCTAGAAATGTACCGATTCCAGAAATTGTGACACCACGGGGAAAACGGCTTTCAAAAAACCACCCAAACTCTGTCTGCACTGGTTTGTCAGCCTAAGAAGGTCCACGCTCAGCCTCTTCACTCGCCAAGTGGGAAGGGCCTGCAGCGACTCTGCCCTCCAGTCCAGGCCTGGTGGAGAAGCCAGCACAATTCAGGAAGAGCACTGACCCCGCACCCCCAAAACCACAGAGGCCCTTGCCCTTGGAAAAGGGCTCCCACCCCTCTACTGCCGCCAAGGCCCTCACCATGCAGCCCAAGGCCTCAGCCAACGGGCACAGAGCAGGGTGTGGTCCCTCTGGGACCCCTCGGTGCCGAGGCAGGCCCTACCGCCCACTGCCATCCACGGCCCGCTGCCACCCGCCACTCCACCTCCGGCTCCAGCCAACGACCAGGCCAGGCCAGTGGCCTCCAGAGCCTCCCTGGCCAAGTGGCCGGAGGACAGGCAGGTGCGTGGATAGGGGAGTGCAAGCAGATAAAAGAGCAATCAGAGTCCAGGCCGCTGGCCACTGGCGGAGGGGGGCCTTGCCGGGCATGACCTGAGTGTCCGCAGTACCCTGGACACTGCCCGTCCCAGCCACGCCTGGGCAGCCCCCACCCTCAAGCGAGCCAGCCAGTCCCCGGCGGGGCAGGCGGGGCCGCGGGGGTGGGGTGGGTACTGTGGCATGAGGCCCACCTGGGCCGCCGCCCGCCACCCCACACCCGAACGTGGCCATATAAGGCCAGGTTGGTCTCAGTGCGCCCGCTGGGCGGCAGCGGCGCGGGGGGAGGGGTGCGAAGCCTCAGAGGACTGGTAGACAGGGCAAGGACGATCCTGAGTGGTCAACACACCCAAAGGGCTGGCCTGGCCGCAGGTCCCGCCTAGCTGAGGGAGGCCAGCACTGAGCATGGCGGTGGGAGTCTGCGGGCACGCGTCACCCGTCAGCCGAGGACGCCCCTTGCTGGGGCTGGTTGCGGGGGTAGGGGTCCCTCCGGAGGCATCTGGGCCTGCCCGCTTGCACAGCAGGTGTGTGAGCCCACGTCCAGACCCTGGTGTGGTGCACACCGAGAGACGTAGTGTGTAGCTGGAAGTAGGTGGTCTCAGGGTCTGCATTAAGACAGGCCCCGACCCTCCACCATGCAGTGACCCCGTGCACTGGGCACTCAGTCTCCCAGCCCCCACCCTGTACCTTCCCAGAGATAGGCAGGCCTAGGGCACAGGGCTGGGTCATTAGTCCCAGAGGCCAAGAATGTCCCCACTGTCCCCACACCCAACCCTGGCCACCAGGGGGATCTCTACAGGTTCCCAGGGGCCTAATTGGGTCCAATGTGGCCAAACAGCCCATCACTCATGAATCCGCCGTGAGCAGCTGCCCGCAACTGCAGGGATGTGTGTGTGGATGTGTGCGTATGTCCTGAGGGGAACTGGGGCCAGAGCCCACCCGGCCAGCAAGCGTGGGGCCCCACGGATGAGCTGGGGGTGCCCTGAGAGTGAGGGGTAACCCTGTGGGAGAGCTGGAGGGACCTCATGGATGAGATGGGGATGCCCCATAGGTGAGGGGTGCCCCACAGGTAGCTGGGGAGCCACGTGAGTGAGGGAGGGCCGCGGGTGAGCTGCAGTGTCCCATGGGTGCACTGGGGCTCCCCGCGGGTGAAGGGCGGGCAGAGCCGGGCCAGCAGGGGCGGGGCGCAGGCACACGCGCCAGGCGGGCACTGTGGCAGGGTTCAGGGCCGGAGGGAAAGGGGCGGCGCTGGCGGAGGCCGGGGCGCCGGGCTGGGCGCCAGCACTCACCTCGGGCGGCGGTGGCCGGCGGGAGGGCCCCCAGGAGCAGCAGCAGCGGCAGCACCAACGCGGGGCTCGGCGTCATCTCGGCCAGTGCGGACCTGGGGTGTATTCGGAGGCCGGTCACTGCGTGGGGGTGGGGGTCGCCCCGCCCCCCGCCTTGGGCCCCGGAGCCGCCCGCACCCCAGCCCTGGGTCGCGGGGACCGGGGTGCGGGCCGCCCCGCCTTCCCTGCCGCGCTCCGGGCGGAGGAAGCGGCGGCGGGGGAACCGTGGTTATCAAAGGCAGACAAAGGGTTTACACTAATTACCGACCTCCCCCGCCCCCCCTCCAAACACCGTCTGGATTCCTGGCTCTTGTAACTCGGGCCCTGCCCGCGGGACACACAACACCGGCGGCCCCGCAGATAATCGCCTGCGCCATTAGCGGACAAATTTGCGTTGGGGGGGGGCCCACGTGGGGTACAGGGGCGGGGGCGGGGCACTGGCAGGACCTCGGGCCAGGCGGGAGCGGCGGCGGCGCGTGCCGGTGCCGGCGGCTCCCCACCGCAGAGCGGGAACCCGGACGCTCTCAGCCCGGGCCCCCGCCCCCGGCCCCGGCCCCCGGCCCTCCCGAGTCGGCCCGCCCAGTCTGCCCCGGGGATCGCGGGCGCGCGGAGGGGCTCACCTCGGCGGTGCTCGCGGGCGGCGGGGCTCAGGGCCGGGCCCGCGGGGCGCGCTGCGCGGTCATCGCCGCCCCGGGCGCCGCACCCCGCCGCCCCGCGCCCCCGGGCCCGGCCTCGGGACGGGGCGGCGCTACCTGGGCGCGGGCGGCTCGGGTCGGGGCCGGGGCGGGGGCCGGGGGCTGGGGCCTGGGGGCGGGGCGGGCGTCGGGGTCGGTCCGGGGGCCGGGGCCGGGGTCCCGGGGCGGCGGGGCGTGGGGCCCGGGGCGCCGCGCCGCGAGGCGTCCTTCCCTGCGGGGCTTTGTCAACTCTCCCGGAGCGAGCGCCGAGCCCGCCGCGCGCCCCGCCCCGACACAACTTCCTGCCAATCGGCACGCCGAGGCCGCCGCGTCCCGCCCCCTTGTCCCGCCCATCTCCCCGCCCCTCACCCCGCCCCGCGCCCGAACTTTTCGCCAATCGGCGTGCGCGCCCTCCCCGCCCGCCTGGCTCCCCGCCTTAACCCTCGCGGTGCGGGCGGCCCGCGGGCGGGTCGGCTCCCCGGGGCGCGGCCCCGCCCCCGCCCCGCCCCGCCCCGGCCGGCCCCTGGCCCAGCCACGCCCCCGCACGGCCCGCCCCTAGCCCCGCCCCCAGCCTGTTCCCACCCTCCCCAGCCAGGTCCAACACACCGCGCCCCCTCACGGCCATCCGCCTAGCCCCGCCCAGGCCCAGCCCAGCTTTGCGCACCTCCAGGTCCCGCGGCGTCCACCTCACAGCTGCACCCGTTGGCGCCCGTGTTGGAGCACACAACTTCAGGCCACCAACACCCCGCGCACCTCCAGAGCTGGCCCTGATGGAGCCCCAGCTGGGCCGTCAGGGCTCCGAGGTCTGAGCCCCCGGTTGTCGTGGGAACGGAGGGGAGATCCAAGACCCCGCTCTGGCCCCAAGAGACTCCAGGGTGGGCCAAGTCGCAGGTGATGTGGGGTACTGAGGTCCTGTGCAGATGAAGAAACGCAGGCACAGAGAGGTCAGGTAATTTACCCAAGATTTCCCAGGCGGCACTTGGCATGCCCAGGACTGGAACCGCACGCTGCAGAATCCAGCTCTCCTGTGGACCTTTCTCCACACTGCCCCGCTGCCCTTCCCTTTCCTGTTCAGCAACGTGCACACACTGGCTCCCGTGCCTCCCCTATTCCCATCCATCAGGGTCTTGCAGAGCAACCCCCATCCTCTCTGGCCTGAATCAGTGGGCCAGGCTCCTCTGGCTTCCCCTCCACTGTCACATCTCTGGAACGGAGAATCATCATTTAAAACACAGCCTTGACAGGTCTCTGGCTCCCCAGTGCCCTCAACACAAACCCCACCACCCTTGAGGCCCTGGATGCCTGGGTCCTGTCCAGCTCCCACCCCACCCCCACCCCCTGCAGCCCTCCCTCCATCCCCTCTGGACCTTTGCCCATGCTACTCCCTCAGGAACCCTGCCTGGAACAGCCTCTCTCCTCTCAGGAGTTCCCTCTCCCAGGAAGCCTTCCAGGGAACACTGGAACTGGAGAGGCCTTGCAGGTCCGAATCGCCAGGGCAGAGGAGAGCTGGGTGAGGGTGTGAGCCATCAGGGTTTGGGGCCCGGTGAGACACCGGCTTCGCACCTCTTCCAAGCCAGTGAGAAGGCGGTTCCCAAATCCTGTCTCTGGGCCCGGGTGGGCACCTCGTGGGAGGGTGGTGGTGAGCCAGGCCCGCCCCTCCATCCTGCCTGCACGCAGGGTGAAGGCCGAGACGTTGGCAGACCCGAGTAGCCCTCCTGCACTTGGAGTCAGGCCCCGCAGCGAGAAGGAAGCCAGGAGAGCGGGTTCAGTGCCCACCTAAGGACTGTGCCAGCGGCGCTGGGGTCACAGACAGGTGCTCTGGGACAAAATGGGCATGTGGGGGAAGAGGTCCGGGGCTAGTGGCGGGCTGCGCGGGCAGGGTTATGAGGAGACGCCACCGGGGCGTGAAGAGCTGCGGCAGGTGGGAGGCTGCCAGGGGCAGCTGTGTGAAAGGTGGCTCTGAAGCGGGGTGGGGGTCGGAAACAGGAAGCGGGCCGAGGGCGAGGCGGCCCTGCGCCGGTGTGCGGGATGAGGTGGGCCGTGGGGAGGGGTGTCCGCCAGGTTAGCAGCGCCAGGTGGGGGCGGCAATCCCTGCTGGCGGGCGAGGGGCCGTGGCCTGGTGTGCGCGTGGGAAGGGGCGCGTCCCGGGCGGGGCTCACCTCCCTGAGCGGGGACGCGCTGCCCCCTGGCGGAGGCTCGGAGCGTGGCGGCCCCCGAGGCCGCCCGGCTCCCCTCCCGCCCGCCCTCCCTCCCTCCCTCCCTCCCTGGGACCCGCGGCCGCCTCTCCGTGCAGGACGCGGTGCTCCCCACGGCGGCGCCAGGCCAGCCTGAGCGCATCTCCAAAGCCGCCTCCTCCACGAAACCCTCCCACCAGCGGGCTCCCACTTCCCCTTCATGACAATGGGCCCGGAATACGCAACCTGTTCAAACACTGTCCTTTTAACCTCCCGGTCTCAATCCTCCCGTCTGCAATCAGACCCCATGGAATTATCCTGGGGATTGCAAGAGTTTCTGTCTCCCACCTGCCGGACACAGCGAGCCCCAAGAAGTATTTATCTGCTCTTCATACCATCGTCAGTCAACCACGAGAAGCTGAGCCCTGGCTCTGTGCGAGACCGGGACGGGTGAGGGTGGGCAAGGAGGGCGTGTCCGCAGCCCTGAAAGAGGAAGCATCCCTGAAAGAGGAAGCATCTTAGTAGCAGGTGTAGGGACTGAGAGAAACGCCTCTAATGATGGAAAGTGCTTGCCAGGGAATTGAAGCCCCTGACATACAGGCTTCTGCTTCTGCTCCAGATGAAATGACAGAGACCAAATTTACATGCTCTCCGCATGTTAAAAAATTAAAAAATTCAGAGATAAATACATGTGAAAAGCAGCAGCTTTTTTTTTTTTTTTTTTTCACGCAACAGGAGACAGCGATCCTTGCGAGATGGCAAACAAATGAAGGGAGACAAATAGTCCCTGCTCCCCCCTGCAGTTTCCAGGGCGCAGTGCCGGCAGTGGGGACCCAGGCAGAGCCCAGAGGGAGGGGGAGTCCCGAGAGGGCAAGACGGCTGGGGTTCACAGGGCAGAGTCCTGGAGAGAGCTGTGCAGACAGGTAGCCCCAGAGGCCCGCAGAGGGTCACCCTCGAGGCTTCAGCGGAGTACAGATCAGTCCAGAAGTGAACAGGAACCGTCCAAGGCTGGGGAAAAACCACCGAGAAGGATGGGAGTCCACAGGGCAGGAACACAGTGCCTGCATTCAACAGCTAGAGCTGAGAACCTAGTAATTCAAGCGGTGTCAGAGTAGAAAGAAGGGGCTTGCCTCAGTAGAAGGGAAAAATCAACTCTAAACTAAATGCATTTCTGGTCCTGCCCAGCAAAGCTTAAAAACAAGACCTAAAGGATCACACAGTTTCCAAGTCACTTAACTGTGTCCCAGAAACAAATGCAAGAATATTTACAGGAATACAAAACTATCCAGCACCCAGCAAGGTAGAACACACAATGTCTGACATCCAACCAAAAATTATTAGGCATGAAAAGAAGCAGAAAATGATAACCTGGACTGAGGGGAGAAAAATAATCAAAAAGGACCCAGAAATGACAAAAACAATAGAATTAGTGGACGAGAACAGCAGGCACGCTTCCTGTGACTATATTCCACGTGCGCAAGATGCCAGTGGCAAGGCAAGTATGTTAAGTAGAGACATGGAAGACTTTTCTAAGGCCTCCAACTGAACTCCAGGGAGGAGAATCAAAACGTCAGATACAGAATACACTGAACGGGGTCAAGAGAACACTGTGAAAGAAAAGGTTGCGAACTTGAAGGCAGAGCTACAGAAACTCTGCAAATGAAACAGAGAGAGAAAAATGACTGAAAGAAATGAACAAAGCATCCGTGCGTTGGGGGACAGCTTCAGGTAGTGAAATACACCTGGAACTGGAGCCCGAAGGGAGAGGACACAGAGGTGGAAAAGGAAGAATATTTTAAGAAAAAGTGGCCAGAATTTTCCAAAATGCAGTGAAAAACATAAACCCACAGTTCCCCAAAGCTCGACAAAATTTAAGCACAAGAAACATGAAGTAAACTACACCAAGGACCGTCCTCCTCAATGCTGAAAACCAGTTCTAAAGAGAATAGCTTAAAAGCATCCGGAGAAAAAAGGCACATTTTTATACAGGAACAAAGAAAAGGGTGATTGGTTGATGTCTTGAATGAAAACAGTGCACCCAAGAAGACAGTGGAGCGGTATCTTTAAAATGCAAGAAAAGGAAACCCACCAACCTGCACTGTTTACCAGCCAAAGTGTCTTCTGAAAACAAGGGTGAAACAGGGCTTCTCCAGACAGAAGAAGCTGGAAGAATTAGTCACTGGCAGATCTGTACTACCAGAAGCATGAAAGGACACCCTCCAAGGAGAAGGAAGATGGGGCCAGAGGGAAACCAGGGCCACACGAAGAAGTGAAGGGCCCCAGAAAGGGAGACTATGTGAGCCGCTGGAAGGAATGCTTTTTTAATGATTAAATTTCTTTAAAAGATAATCAATCATCCGCTTACAGAAGAAATAACAATGTATTGTGTGATCTCTATCATATGAAAAGTTAAAATGTATGATCACAGGAGTACAAAGGCTGGGAGGGGAAAATCAAATGGTGTTTTAAGGTTCTCTTACTACACATGAGATGGTATGATCTCACTCAACAGTGGATAGTGACAGGTTAAAAAACGTATAGTATAGGGGCTTCCCTGGCGGCACAGTGGTCGAGAGTCCGCCTGCCGATGCAGGGGACGCGGGTTTGTGCCCCGCTCTGGGAAGATCCCACGTGCCGCGGAGCGGCTGGGCCCGTGAGCCATGGCCACTGAGCCTGCGCGTCTGGAGCCTGTGCTCCGCAATGGGAGAGGCCACAGCAGTGAGAGGCCCGCGTACCGCAAAAAAAATAAAAATAATAATAATCGTATAGTATAAATCCCAATGTAACCACTAAAATAACCAAACAAAGAATTACAGCTAAGAAGGCAACAAAAGAGACAAA